CTCTGATAAGCACGTCATTTTAAGCTGGTGCACCGCTAGTGTAACTTTGTTTTCGTATTGCGCAAGCTGCAACAGTTCCGTTCCGTGTAACACAAACACTCGGTTTAGCGGAACCTTTACGATTAATTAACCGTGACGTTTTAAAACGCGGTTAATCGCGAAACCGGTTAATCGCTGCATCCCTAGTACTACATAGTTCAGAGTCTTTGTAATGTGTTTCTGCAATACATTTCTAAAATGTATAATGCGTTTAGAAAAAATTCTCAGAATTCTCTTTACACAGACTTTAAGTAACAAAAGTGTCTGAATGTCATTACATTAGATAAAATATTAAACCAAGTGGGAAATAAAACAGGTATTTTAAAATGCAATAATATTTCACAAAATGATTGTCTTTACTGTATTTCTGATAAAAAAATATGCAGCTTTGGTGAGCATAAGAGAGCTTTCAAAACATTACAAAATTTGTACATACCCTAAACGTTTGAACAGTAGTGTATGACATCACAGACATGATTCAAAGCCTCAGAGAGTCAGTCAGGTGACAACAAGAGAAATGTCCATCTCTTCTCTCTCCTTGTTTCAAATATAGAAGCATATTATTAAACAAATCATCTGTTTGTCCATCAGACCACACACAAAGATCAGAATGGTTTTCCTCTTCCTCTCATTAGAACTGCTGCGGCTCAGCCTGTCCGAGTGCTTTAATGAGTTAGACCTCACAGTGCTGTTCAGCACTTTTCATTATGCATGTGTATTTCTGTTCAGCTGGCTATTAATCATTTTAGAGATGAAAGAAAGAAGAATAAAGAAGAGTCCACCCAGCTAACCAAATAGAGATCTCGCTAATGAAAGTGTAGATCTGGTGGAGCGTTACATCACTCAAAGACTCAGGTCCTGACTGCTGTCTGCAGGGCTAATGATTCAAGTTAATCTCAAGAAGTGAGGAAACAGATTGAAACATTATCAGCCAATAACACATTCTTATACTGAACATAAATCTAAAGACAGTTAATTAGGTGTACATGTTGAGATAGTTTGCTCTATATCAGTTGTTTCCAAACTTTTCATCAGTGCAGCCACTTCTTATCTATGACATTTGTAAAGCAACTTATCTCACCTAAAAGTGGACATAATCACATTTTAACATGAACTAAATGTGCATGGAAATTTCCAATTTCTCTTTGTTTATCAATAAATATTAAGTAGGGGTGAGCCGATCCGATATTCAGTATCGGTATCGCTCCGAAACTGGCATTTTCTGTTGGATCGGGGCAGGGGCGCCGCTAGCAATTTTGGGCCCTAAGAAAAAATATGAGGTTGGGCCCCCTACCGCACCAAACATACACTATATAGCCCTAAGTATTGGGAAAACGCAATAAAACTAAAAAAAAAACTCATCGCCAAACACCAATGACTTTTGACCACATTTACCAACTGTGGCAACAAAGATGGAAATACAATTTGTATGAATTTAAAGTCACACCAGAGGTGTTCAGATGGGATTAGGACTTGGCTTTATGCAGACCAATTAAGGTCTTCCACACTGACTGAATCAACCTTTTTTTTTTTTTACCTTGCCTTATACACAGAGGCATTGTTGTGTTAGAATAGAAAATGGTCCTGTTCACTATTGTTATAAAATTAGAAGCACACAATTCCCTAGAATAGAATTATATGCTTTTTTTTTTACAAAAAATTTGAAATGACTAAAGTAGTCAAACCTGTTCATTAGAAGGGGGTGTCCCAATACTTTTGGCAATATAGTGTACAAGCCAGCCTAGCTATTCAAAATCTTTGTCTGCAATTTAATAATATTGACCTACTACTTTTGCTATTGCTTTTGACCTTTAGGTATCAGTAACATAATTCATTCAGAACCTGTTTTATGGACATAGACTTTCTGTACCACACTATTCTGCTGATATGGAATGAGTTTGACTACTTAATCAGTTATATTAATAGAAATGCTTCACTGGGGCAAACAAAAAAATGTGCGTGGGCCTTGTGAATTTGTAGATTTTCTATAGCAAAACTAAAATGTGTTTAAAAGTGCGACTGACTAAATCGTCCGGTTCGGTTTGCCCCCCTCGAACTCGAAGACATCTCTGATTTGACAGTTTACTATGTGATCTCACTCAGTGACTCTAGGCTACGTAGGACGGGACAAAACCATGCAGTGAATGGGGGGAGATAATTTTGCCGGAAATGCAGAAATAAGCCGTAATTTTGTTTTATTTGTAACTCTTTGGTAGATACATTTATAATTTCTATTACATTACTACTACTACTGTTACTACTAATAAAACAGATCTCTGGGGGCCCCAAAAGTGCGTGGGCCCTTAAAATCGTCCTAACTTCCCCCCCCTTAGCAGCGCCCCTGGATCGGGGTATCGGTCAGACGAGACCGATCCAAATCCGATATAGTGCGTCTACTATTCTGTGTTATTATTAAGCCCCACGAAAGCCACAAAAACATTATAAAGCATCATAAAGTTTTCGTGCACTATATTTCAAGTGTTCTGAAGCTTTTCCATAGTTTAATGTGAGGTACAGATGAATATTTAAGTCAAGTTCACGTAAACTCTTCTCTCCGCTGTGGCTGTCTGTCATCCTCCATTCAGCATTCAAACTGTGTGTCACGTTCGGTTATGACAGTCAAGACGATGAAACTCTCTCCAAGATGATTAAATGTTCCTAATGTTATACTTGATCTGTAAATAAAGATAAAAGGTTTTGCATAAAAGGAATTTATCTTGCTGGAGTTTCGTGCTGTTTCTAAATTGTGTAAATTTCTACCGGATATCTGGTTAGATCACAAGACTGGAGTAGAGAGCACTATGAATTGTTTCGCCACGAGCACAGTAACTGAAATTTAAAAGTGTTAAAAGAAAAGGCTCAAACTATCGCACATATTTAATACACTACGCATCAATATCTCTTCACTTTGTGCTTTAAACTTCTCTATGCTGCGCGCTGTGACTTTTAATACTTTTAATAGATTATTTTTTAATTTATACAGTAGTTAACATTTGAAGTGGATCAAAAAAGTTACTCAAAGTTGTCCTAAGACAAGAATGGGTATTGTTTTGGTTTTAGGACAACTTTGATGAAAGGTTTTGATCCACTTCAAATGTTGACTACTATAGTATATATTTATATATAAATATATTACTTGTTTTTCATGAATGTATTTTACAACAATAACAAGAGCAATGTGTAGGCCTACCAGATTTAGCCCTACACTTATTCACTTTTATTTGTTACCCACTAAATAATGTATTTTTTTTTCACTAAAAGTTTAGGATTTTATAAAATGATTGTGCACTCATGATTTTTCTAGAGTAATTTTTGCTACTGAATTATCCATTAACCTAGTTTATAATAGTATTTTTGTCATAGATTTTGATTATATTTTTTTGTTTGTTATTTTTTCTTTATAATGAAGCTGTCTATATTTAGTAGATTGTGTGTAACATACAAAAGAGTGATGATCGACCTACACATTGAGGTATAGAAATTCTACACTCATTTAAAAAAACTGCGCTGGTGTCGGATCGATATCGGTATCGGCAGATACTCAGAATTTTTGGTATCGGATCGGTATCGGTTCTGAAAAAGTGGTATCGAGCCATCCCTAATATTAAGACACATTTTACTTAAAAATTATGACTATTTTAGTGGGTTTCAAAAATGTGGTTGACCATTTTTTGTCAAAGTGGTCACTGCTTCGCCAGAATAAGTTACCTGTAATGTACACCTTGCTGTGAAGACTAGTGAGGTTTGTATTCAAGTTGTGTACCAACAATCCCAATTATGATGCAGTCGATGCATATTCGATGCATATGACGCAGTCGATGCATATTCATATGCAGTCGATGCAAAATCCTCTCTCGAAATCCAAATAAACAGCATGAAATGGCATTCACCTAAGATAGATGAATTCAGTTTGTCAAAGTTGAAATGGAACACACAAGACAAAATCACCTCTAATATTGACTTCCACGACTGTGAGTAGTGATACCTATCCAGAATTTGATTTAGGAAATCAAAGACACAGAGGACATCCGCAAAACTCAAGAGCTATTCCTAGACCTGTATTGATCATGTCAGTGGAGGCTCTACCTTCATTGATTACAGACAAAAAACTATCAAAACTATACAGACATGAAAACTATCTTTGATTACTCCAGTCTTCAGTGCCACATGATCCTTCAGAAACCATTGTAATATGCTGATTTGGAACTCAAGAAATATTGTTAAATTATTATTGCAATTTTTTTTTCAGGATACTCAAGTTCAACAGGAATTCCTGACAGCATTTGTTTGAAAAAGAAATCTTTTGTATCAGTGTAGGTCTTTACTGTCACTTGTTGATCCATTTAATGCGTCCCTGCTGAATAAGACTATTACTTTCTTTAAAAAAAACTTTCTGACCCCAAACTTTTAAACGGTATTGTATACACAAAATATCTATTTTATAATAATTGAAACCTGACCCAACTCAAATTCTGTAATAACAGAAAGTCAGTTCTACTTACATTGATCATAGCATTGGAGGTGATGCGAAAGAGGGTGGCTCTCTCGTTGACAGCCTTGATTTTCTCTCCTCCCTCCAGAGGCACACGTAAGGTCTCGAGCTCACTCAGAGACCGCTGCAGCGCCGCTCCGTGCTTGGCTATCAGGTCATTGCACGTGCTCAAGTCATCCAACTTACTGGCCAGAGTCTTGAGAGTGCCCTGGATCTCACTGTGGTCTGACTGAGAGATGGGCTCCTCGTCCGCAGAGTCATCTACACAGAGAGACACAGAATAAAGGTTATGCGAGCAAATTTCATTATTGGGTGAACTACTGCTTTAAAACAGAAAAAAAAAACATCCCATGTCCCCACAATGTGTTTTCCAGCTGTTTTTAGACCACAGCTCGTCCTAATTTCCCTCATTAATTAATGCTGATTTTACAGGTGGCTGAGGCCCTAACAGCAGGCACCCAGTCAATATCACCACTTGTGCAAACAGAGCACAAACACCCAAATCAACACACACACACACACACACACACATAGATGGTGTACAGCTTTAAGAGATAGTGACTTCTCACAAAATATTACCTGTTAAGAAACCTGGAAGTCTCAGATAAAATTGGGTTTCCTAATTAAGTCATACTGGAGAACACACTGGTAAGACTCATCTGTTGATAATATGTAGGGTGAGGACTGAAGAAGCAGAAACAACTATCATTTCAAGCAATTCAGAAATGTTTTACAACAGAAGAAATTAGAATTTTGACAAAAAAAGTTTTGTCAATTGTCTTCTGTGGAAAAAATAAGTAGGCTATAAGTACTTTGTTCTTAAAACCTCCAAAATAAGACAGCATTTGTGAACTTCTGGTTCCATTGTCCCCAATCAATGGGTTTGTTGGGTTCAATCAATGGGTTTCTATGACATAAAAGTTGGTGACACTGAAGTCATGCAGTGATGTAGTTTGTTTATTGCCTAACTTTAGATTGTTACGCCTGCCGATTGTATTCAGGCTTCAATTTTCTGCAATAATCAACAAAGCCAATTGAAAAATCCTATTGGCTTTTTGCCAAGGGAACCAATGCAATGCTAACATAGTTGGCCTACAAAATTACGCCATCCTCTCTACTGGAGGATGCACATAATTATTTTTTTTTTATTGCATGCATGCAAGTTCCCAAAAATCTTTTCAATTGGACTGAGATCTGGAAATAGACTTGGCTATTGAAAAACACCTCCTTCTGTTTCTTCCAAGCTATTCGTTTGTCGACCAAAAACTTTAGCTTTTATGATACTGCATTCATTTCAATAGCTGTCAGTTTTAAAAATAGCCAAAAAAGCTAACATAAAGTACCTTAGTGTGCCATTACTGGTCACCAGCATCACTTGTGATGTCTAGGCTATAAGCATTTGCTAGTGGACAGGACGTGCTAAAAATAAATGATAAATCATTTGGATGCCGAAATGTGTTCACTTTGCACGGTTCCACAGCTGCCATCATTAAAGTCCATTGGCATGTGTGGACACGCTCACACACAATGGCTCCCCTCCAATGACACAAGTGGCATAAATATAGAGCAAATGGAGAAAACACATCAGGGCAGAGCTGAGATCCCGAAGCTGAGTTGAGGCCATGACAGGATCGTGCAACATGGATGCAATGAGACAGCTACTCACAGACACATTTATTACACCTCAATGTACTTAGAAAACAATTTCTCAAAGAAAGGATGCTGTTGCTCATCTCTGACAAAAAAAAGACCATTTGGAAAAAAGACAAGGACATGGCAACCTCATTCAGAGCAGCAGAGCGGGGCAAGGGTGAGATTGATTTGACTGTGTTTGTTCCTCCTCAGCAGAGAGCAGAGCAGCCGTCAGCAAACTGTTCAGAGACTGAACACATTAACCTTCTCATGACTCAACAACAACATAGGCAGATAGAAAGCATTGAGGAGAAGAAAGAGGGGTCACTTTAGGGCACTTCCCGTAGAAAGAAGTTTAGTTACATGCTAACTAAATGAGAGTCTTCTATGAGTTAATACCAGATAATTATTATGCATTAAAAGGTCTCTCCTGCTTCTCGGTTCATTGTTGTGCTGGTGGATCAGCCACTGGCCTTGAGACCGTTATTGACTGTTTTAATTTAAACAGCAACAGAATGACATCTTGAGGGTCTAAACGCCGACAATCAAATCGTCCATTTCTAGAGCTTCTTCTTTTCTCTCTTTCCATTAGCCACTAGCACACAGACACACACACACACACTGGCTGACTCTGCACATACGTCACATATTTGTGAGCTGTGTGACTGCTGACAGAGGAATCTGTGGGTATGTTACTAACAGCATATTACCATACTAAGTACTTTCCATGCAGTACATAGGCCTATATTGCGCACAGTATGTAAATTTGATTGTGTGTGTGGAACATCTGGATCATGCATACATATACATACATATGCATATATATATATGTATATATATAAAATGCATATTCATAAATACATATGCACTGTAAATAAAATGTCCATTAATGTATGTTATTGTTGCATATTATTTCACATACTAATTATATGTAATATGCATTATATACCGCATAGTATATAGCACACTAGTGTTTCATTCCAAACAGAACATTTCTTTCCCTTCCTCTGTTGGGTTTAATCTTGAGCAAACCACACAGCTTTACATTCAGTGTCGTTTTCACCGTCACCTTTCAGCTTTAGAAGAGCTGCTGATGAAGGTCTGAGGGTAATGTGCAGCTGGTATTGGGTAAATCTGCTGTGTGCTGGAGATAACAGCTAATTTTCACAGCAGCTTCTCAGTCTGGGAACTGTCTGACAGAATGACCAGGTGGCTTGCTATTTTATAACACTTACAGGCCTTAACCTGCTGCAAGGCACCAGTCAGTGTAGAGGTCTGTTTCTAGATATATATCACAGTCATCAAACTGCGCACACAAATATCTACTTACAGAGCGACGTTACAGAGAAAGTAGTAGTAAATATTAAATGCAAACATATACAAATCTTTCTGCCACCATCTGTCTTATTTACAATCTAAAATGTAGCTTAACATCCGATTATAGAATAACTATTATATCAAATGGTACTTTGTATGTATGTTTGCACTTCATATTTTCTACAACCTTTTGACCATTACATTTTCCTGAGCTCAGCTGTACGCCTGAAATAGGAACATTAAACTAAGTATGATGTATGGTGAATATGTCAAGGAGCACAACCTACCAGCCTGCAATAATGTGGCAATAAATCTGACAAAGAATGATTTTATTAGAATTACTTCTAATAAAATGTACTTATTAATAAATGTATAAGCTGGTTTCATACTTCCAAATTTACTGTAGTAATGCAACTGCCAGCAATAGTTCACATTCACATAGGATTTAAAACAGTTTTCCAGTTTTACTCAAAAGTTTAAAAAGAATTTCTAAGAACTCATGTAAGAAGGTGGGATAAACTCTGTCAGCTTTCACTTTGAGGTTGCAAACAGAATATGCCTAAAATGAGGAGAGTCTCCTAGCAAAGCTCATCTTGCAATTCATTTTTTCTTTGTTTGTCTGCACAGTCAAGACTTCACAGTAAGTAATGTGGGAAAGACTATACTTCTATATAATATAGATTATAATTTCACTATAGAAAATGCTCAAATGTCACTCCAATATATAACAAATTCCATACAAAGTGCATGTCAAAGGAGAATTTCCTAATTGCCAAACCCTTTTAGAAAGCACATCAAGTGTGCATCATCTTGTATGATTATTTGCAATTATTTATATAGGATCTATGGATGCAATCTCACCAGTTTTCATCTATTTGAGGGATAAAAGCTGCAGAAGGCAGAAAACATCAACACATGAACAGCCAGATCAGGTGGACATGCTGCAGATGAAACATGATGATGCAGATATAGATTATGTAGCACTGCAATGAGCAGATGGCAGTGTTTAATCTTCTCCAGCCAGAGTCTATCAAACATACAAAACTAATGTATATCACCTCCACAACAACTTCAACAACTTAGAAATCTACAGATTATGCCTCCCTGCTGGAAATGAGCATAAAAATGACAAAAAAAAAATAGTGTTAAATGAATAAAAGAGTTATTAGGAGGTAACAGACAATGACTGAGACAATATAATTGTGTACAGTAGGTGCAATGTATAAAAACAAATAAATACGTATAATAAAAGTATAATACTATAAGCCAATAAGAAGCAATAAGTGAATTTTTGGTGTCAAAATGAATAATATATGAAGCAGCAAGTAAAAAAAGTTGCGTAAAGATAACCTATAATGTGAATAATACTGTTGAACAGAATAAAAACAACAGCCATACAAGAACATTCAAAAACAAAGTTTTTGTAAAGTTGGTTGCTGTAATTGATTTACAGCAGTGAGGTTGAATTTTTATTGCCTGTGTGTAGAAGCTGCGCAATAGCCATTTTGGTCAGTGCCCGGGCACTTCTGTTTCTCAGATTGTAAAGGCAACGATTGGGATGCCTGGGGTCTTTAAGAATGATCCGGTCATCTTAAATCATCTGTCTAAATATATTTCATGGATGCTGGGTGCTGAGATGGACTACGTTGTCTTCACCACCCTCTGCAGTTCCAAGGCATTAAAATACAGAACAGTTTCTGTAGCAGGCAAGTGATGCAGTTGTTAGGAATACTCTCAATCATGCATCTGGAGAGTTTGTCAGAATCAGTGGTGACATGCCAATCTTTCCTCGTCTAACTGGACTCGTATCTTTCAGGGAGGCATACTGTAGTTCTAATGTAAGTAAGTATATTTGTTTGATAGACTCTGTAGTGGTTGGAACAGATTAAACATGGCATTCTGCTCATTGCAGTGCTACCTAATCTACATAATTCTATTGTTTTGGATAAAAGCATCTGCTAAATGCATAAATGCGCATTTAAATGTACTGAGAAAAACAGGTGCTGGCATGCCTTTTTCCTCGCTGCTGTTCTGCTAGCAAGACTCAACATCCCTCAAGTGGCATCAGATCCATTAAGGATAATGAGAGAGTGACACTAGACAGTCTCAGCCATATCTTGATTGACAAATCGGTAAACCTGATTAAGGAATCTGAATAATCACTGTCATTTCTACTTTCAGTCACCAAACAGTATTATTTACAGATCAGGTCCTGTTAGGACAGAAATCAAGGGTTAGGCCCAACTAATGTGCTTAATAAAAAAGTACTTTTGAAATAAAAAACTATAAGGTTTCACACCAAGCTCTGTTAG